ACAGAACCGGCTTTCTGACAAGATGCGCGTTAAATATCGCATGCGATTAATCGTGCAGCCCTAATTTTATGGACGACCGTTTCGTGAACCTAGTAGAGGAGGTCATTCTGACTTTGCTATGACAATCTGGCGCTTCTGAATCAGCTACTGTTTTGTTATTAGTTTAAGTATTTGCTATTGACTGTTCAAATGCGGAGTTTTGCGCATCGTGCGTGTGTGTGTGTGTGTGTGTGTGTGCGCGTGTGTGTGTGTGTAAGAGAGAGAGAAAGAGAGAGTGAGAGAGAGACAGGGTCACATCACAGTGGAGTCAGCTGTCTTAACCGTGGCTTGAAATTGTATGTGGTATGTGTTGTACTGCAAACACATACCAGCTTCATCACTGTGTCTGTCACGCGACTCTGTTCCCCTTTCGGGCTTGAACTGATGGTAAAACTAATGACATTATTTACTGTCTTTACATTTATTTTGAAAGATGAAGCTCACGATCATGGTAAGGGGCGTTACATTTCTGACGAGTGCTTGCGGTTTTCGGCCAATCACAATGCACTGGGTCAGCTGGCCAATCAGAGCAGACTGCACTTGTCGGAAGGAGGGACTTTGTAGAAAACTAAGCGTTTGAGATTGAGAGAGGCGGGGCATATGGACCTACAATAATGTACAGTATTTGAAAAATAATGTGTTTTTTGAACATTAAAGCATGTCAACATATTCTGTTACACCAAATACACGAAATAATGATCTTTAAAAAAAGCATCATATGACCCCTTTAAACTAGCACATTCGCGCTATTACTTAAATTTGATTGGCCATCTCAATCATTTTCTTCTTCTTCTTTGGAATTTTTGGCATATCTCAGTTTTGACATTGACGAGTGCTGTTAAACTGCTGAGGCAGACCAGCCTAAAAATTTTACTTTTAATATATTTTACATTCTACTTCTTCCTGTAATTTATGTTGAAGCTTGTTTATATTTGCAATAAAAAAAAAAAATCTAACTTTGAAATAGTAAACCTTTTTGACATCTTAACAACAGGGCGCTGCAAAAATTTATTTGTTTACGATTTTTTTTTTTTTAACTAAATAAAATGACGACAAAAAATAAAATAATAAGCAAGTTTATTTTTTTACACAGTTTAATTAGGTCCACATTTGCCAAGCACAAAAAGCACTAAACAAAATTGTTGTTATCTGTATTTTATTTTAATATTTTATAAATAAATAAATAAATAAGGTGTGTCATTTTCTGTGGAGTACAAAATTATTTTTTATGCAAATATGCATTTTTAATAAGATCATGCTAAATACATAATCTAAAAAGTTAAAAGTTTAATTTTAACTAGAGTAAAACCTGTAGTATATGGAGAATGAAACCTGCAAAAACAATAAATAAATAAATACACAAATAAATGAATAAATGTGCAAATAAATAAATAAATGTGTGTATAAATACACAAATTCTTGTTTAAATACATATAGAAATAATTAAACATGTGATGAAAGTAGGCAAATAAATAAAATAAATTGGTGGGCAAATGGAAAATATTTAAGGAAATGCTAAACTCATCCTATTTATTTTCCTTTGATCACTCATTTATTTCTGAATGTAGTTCATGTGAATGTAGTTCAGAATGAATGTAGTATTTATTTTTCCTCTACGCAACATGCTAATGAGAGGGTGTCAACCATGGACTTGGTCGGGGTCATGTCATAGCTGGGGGCGTGGCATAGCATGGGGAAAACAATCCTTTCACTCTGACAGGAAATGCATGGTGTTAATCCAGTATGGCCTACGTAAAGTCACTTTTTCCATTCAACAGAGCAAGATACATAAAAAACTGAGCTGTATTGTCTGTACAGTATCTGTGACTTTACAAACGACCCAAAGAGATGGCCAGTGTCGATTCCAGACGTCATTTTTTGTAACCCGATATTCACTTTATCCGTGGAAAAAGGGCTCGTTCTTTTTATGGCAGCTAGTGTTTATTAGGATGGTTTTACCTGCTCGTTGTTTAGGTATGTGTAAGATAATTTTTATGGTCAGTAAACAATCTTCTACAACCAAGTCGATCTGCAGCAATCTCTCTCTCTTTACGGCGGGCGAACCAAATTAGTGACATACACAAGGGTACATCTCAGTTGATTCTCAATTTATTATTGTACAAACAGAGGCTCATATACATCCTTGAGAACTGGTATGAAGTGGTTTAGGAACAGATAGTTTTTTCCCATTAGTTATCAGAACAGAAAATACAAGTGACAAAAGTATGTTTATTAAGCAAATAACGGTTCAGTATTGCAATTAAGAGCTATGTAAGCAATATTTTACATTGGCCACTTAAAATCTTTTATGATTTAGCTCTCTCATGATTATAACTACTAAACTAACCCTATGAAAAAGTGTAAGATACTAATCAGTCACCTTGATTGATGAAGTTAATATGCATGCGCAGGCAAACGCTCAAGCGCGTCACACACGATCCGCCTACTCTTGCATAATTGACACCCTCTCATTAGCATGTTGCGCAGAGGGGGGAAAAATTGGAACTACATTCAGAAATAAATGAGTGATCAAAGGAAAATAGTTAGGGTGAGTTTAGCATTTCCTTAAACATTTTCCATTTGCCCACCAATTTATTTGATTTATTTGCCTACTTTCTTCACATGTTTAATTATTCATTTATGTATTTAAACAAGAATACGTGTATTTATGCACACATTTATTTATTTGTGTATTTATTTATTTATTGTTTTTGCAGTTTTCGTCCTCCATAGTAGTAGCTCCCAAGAGCGGCGCACCTTAAGGACTTTTATTCTAACTTTCCAGCAGCCATGAACTGTTGAGTTAAGTTTGCGTGAAGATTCACACACCCTCTCTCATAATACAGTGCACAGCTCGTGATGTTACGGGATCTTTTTGTCTCCACTAATTGTTTAACACCACAGAGACTTTGAGACTGCGGAAGCGAAGACAACGAGGTTTAGCTGGTTGTTTGAAAACAGTTTTAAACATATTCATCCTAGATTTTCTCAACAATATGTTGCATCATTTTTTTTTAGCATGTACAGTGATATGAGAAGTGTTGCCTTAATCTGTGCTGAGAGTATTCATGCAACATTTGACACTGAATATAATCCTGACGTTGTCATAATCTATATTTAAAATTTTATAGCCACAGCAAAATCTAAGAGCCAGTGAATTAATCGTATAATTGTGATTATATTACGACATGTCTTATTTACAGGTGTTGCATTAACGGCACCGATTCTGTGCTTAAAATGAGAATATTAGTGGTTTTATTAGGATGAATTTTGATGCACATGAGATGCAGAGCAGGTTCATGAGAAAAACATGTGCTCGTATGTTTGACAGCTTGGAGAGGATGGAGGAAGATTTGTCACAGGCTTTGAATTCTGTCAGTCTGGAGCAGAAAAACCGCAAGATGGACACTTTTGGGTAAATATCTCATCTTATTCTTTATTCAGCATATGCTTTCTTATTCTAAGTTATTGGTATTGTTTGTTTTTTTTTACTATTGTTCAAGCCACAGTAGTAATCAAGAATCACCTCATTTGAGGTTTAAACCTACAACCATTATTGGATGGATTTCCATCATAACTTTTTAAGCACATGTATTCTGTCATTGTCAATGTGAAGTGACATGTGGCCAAGTATGGTGACCCATACTTGGAATTAGTGCTCTGCATTTAACCCATCCTAAGTGCACACACACAGTAGTGAACACACACACCGTGAACACACACTCGGAGCAGTGGGCAGCCATTTTTGCTGCGGCGCCCGGGGAGCAGTTGGGGGTTTGGTGCCTTGCTCAAGGGCACCTCAGTCGTGGTATTGAAGGTGGGAGAGAGCGCTGTGCATTCACTCCCCCCACCTACAATCCCTGCCGGTACGAGACTCGAACCCGCAACCTTTGGGTTACGAGTCTGACTCAAACCATTAGGCCACGACTTCAGCTATTGCTATACTTATCCATTCAGATTTTCTTCTCATGGAGCACGAACATGTGTTGTAATTTTGTCACAAGGTTGTCGATTAAAGACCTAAAGCGCTTTTTCTGTTTCAACATCCAGAATTCTAGAAGGTGAACAGTTTAGTCTCTTGTTTGCTGAAATGGTGAAGGCATGAAGCAGGGATAAGCACATTGGGATCAGCTTTCTAAACGCACTTTGGTTTTACAACAGGTTTCTGTTCATGTGGGGGGTTTCGGTCGTGTATGGAGAACCAAACTGTTTTTACGGTTTCCTAACTATATAGTAAATATTATAAATAGTATTTCTATTCAAGATTAACAGGATGCAAGGATTTGTATTCATCACACACTATATTATATAATTAATTTTGGTTTTAATAAAGGTTTTGTGTGTATGTGTATATGCTGTATGTATGTGTGTGTGTGTGTGTCTGATCAGAAATAAGAATTGATGTCAGAGAAATAGTTTATCCAGTGTATTGTGTAAATGGCATATTGAGGGTCACTATTGTAGTTTAGATTGAATGTGTTGGGTGGGCCACATAGGCCCTTGTTAAACCAGATTAGGGTTTTAATCTTTAAATCTAAAAGTCCGCCTACACTACAGCCTCCTTTTACTCCCTCTGCAGCCTATATCACACACTTTACTGTATTATTAATTCTTGGAACAACTGGCTTTGCTTCCCCGGAACTCAAGTCTAAATATCTATCAAGGCACGCTATAACACTCGGGCCATTTTCACGTGACCAGCCACTGTCGCTCAGCATGGAGGAAATATCTGAATATTTTTGCGAAAACCTGCGATCACGCTCTGACAGCGTGGCCAGCACCGGCACAGAGTCCACCAGCAGCCGTCTGTATGTGCGACAGCGTCTGGCTATGCTCATGACCTGCGTGGACGATCTGGACCCTGATGATAAACTCCACGCCCAGGTGGCTAAAACATTAGATGAGGCTTTTCTCGTCTGCAGGCAGATTGCGGGCCGACCTAAGAAAGACCAATTCAGGTTTTGTCTTTCACTTCTCTTGTTGTCTTGTCTGGCAGATCTAAATCTGACTGCAGGTGTCGAGCTTGGTTTTGTGGCGACTGAACACCTTTTTATCTGTTTTTCCAGAGAAATGAACATAAGTGTCAGTGCATTTGAGTTAATGAACTTCAGGGGAAGAGACATTTTAAACCTTAGTAGTTCTTAAAAATGGTTAAATGGATCGAGCTGTTTAAGTGTGATATGCTTAGAATTTCTTGGTTGATTAGTTGAAATGGTGTTATTATTAATCTTAGGAGTTCTGTAAGGACAGGAGTTACACAAGCAGAACTGTTATTTTATTGAACTGAATCTGTCTTTCTTTTACCCACAGGCTGTACGTCGTCACGTGGAATGTGGCCACAGCTGAGCCTCCTGATGATGTGAACTCTCTGCTTCAGCTCAACTCCCCGAAGAAACCCGATCTCTATGTGATCGGGTGAGTTTCAATATTTGAATCAAGAGACACACCATAATGTAAATAATGACAGTTATCTCACCTCCGTGTCCTAACATCTGTGATGCTGCTCCTGTTCAGGCTGCAGGAGGTGAAGGCTGCACCTCTCAAGTTTGTCACAGATTTGGCCTTTGAGGACTCCTGGAGTCACGTCTTCATGAACACGCTGGCCCCTTTGGGTTATATCAAGGTGCTGATTATAGATGACTCATACGAAGATGCTTTTGTTCATTATCATACTAATTATGTGATTCACTATGAAACAGTGGATTATACCACTGACCTGATGGACTGATTGATTTCTTAGCTTATAGAGAAGCTCTGACTGGTAGACATGCATGGCAAGGCAAGGCAAGTTTATTTATATAGCACATTTCATACACAATGGTAATTCAAAGTGCTTTACATAAAAGAAAGTAAAATAAAAAAATAATCACAAAAATAAAAAGGAATTTAAAAAGAATTTGAATTTAAAATGAATTTAAGACAGTTAAAAATAGAAAATGGTTATACATAAAATACAGTGCAATAATTTTGGGTTGCATAAAATACAGTGCAATACATAAAATACAGTGCATTAAATGGGAAATTTGGAAATTTGTAATGCATGGGAAATTTTATTTATTTTTAAGTTTACTAATGTTTTATTACATATTTATAATATATATTTAACTTAAATATATGTTAATAATGTAATAGAATTATATATATATATATATATATTTATGTGTGTGTATATACTGTATATATATACTTTAATTACATATTTATGTAATTACAGTTATAATTGATAAATAATTTGTAATTACAATTAATTTTTAATATGAATTGTTAGAATTTATATAATTATATATTTAAGTTTAAATAATAATAAATAGCGCATTTAAATAATTGAAATTTACACAATTGAAATTATATGTAATGATATACATTGTAATATATTATTTATAATATATAGACATTTATATATTTCATTACATTATTACATTTGACTTAATGAACCTATAATGAATTAATAATACATTTGGTATAATGAACTTGGTTACACTTTAGTTTAGGTGTTTGTTAACTTCAGGTATGGGATAGGATTAAGGGATCTAAAATATGGTCGTGCAGAATAAGGCATTAATATGTGCTTTATAAGTACTAATAAACAACCAATATGCTAGTAATATGCATGCTAATAAGCGACTAGTTAATAGTGAGAATTGGACCTTAAAATAAAGTGTTACCTATATTACACTATTACATTTGACTTAAAGGGGTCCAATTATGCTTTTTCACTTTTTCAACTTTAGTTAGTCTGTAATGTTGCTGTTTGAGCATAAAAAAAGATCTGCAAAGTTACAAACTTCAAAGTCCACTTCAAAAGGAGATATTTTATTGAACAGAAAGCACTTTTCAAAAACTACAACGAACGACTCGTTTGGACTACAACACATATTTTCCTGGGATTTGTGATCTCACGAATGGGACGAGACCTGGTTGAGCTGCACTAGAGAAGGCAACGAGTGTTATCACTATGTCGGAGACACGCTAGCTTTCCCAAAGCAGACGAACTTAGAGTGGAACTTATAATGAATTAATAATAAATTTGGTATAATGAATTTGGTAACACTTCAGTTTTAAGGACCAATTCTCACTATCAGCTAACTATTAACTATGATTTTTGCCTCAACAAACAACTAATTTGCTGCTTATTAATAGTTAGTAAGGTAGTTATTAAGTTTAGGTATGGGATAGGATTATGAGATCTAAAAGATGGTCATGCAGAAATAAGGCATTAATGTGTGTTTCATAAATACTAATAAACAGCCAATATGCTGCATGCTAATAAGCAACTAGTTAATATTGAGAATTGGTCCTTAAAATAAAGTCTTACCATGAACCTATAATGCATAAATATAATCTATAATTACAGTGAAAATTTGTGATTAAATCTATTATATTAATTATATTAATATTAATATATTAATTTAATTATATAAATGTATTTATTGTGCCCAATTCAGGTGTCCTCCATACGGATGCAGGGTCTACTCCTGCTTTTCTTTTCCAAGCTGGAGCACGCCCCATTTATCAGAGACATTCAGGTCACTTACACCCGCACAGGACTCTACGGCTACTGGGTAAGACCAAGGAAATGCAAGTTAGTTATAGTTTTGAGAGCAACTTTTGATAAACCTAATGAAAATTGAAACAAAAATTAGCTGTGAATGAAAATTAATCTCTATTTTCCTAAAATTAAAGGGTAATAAAGGAGGTGTGTCCATCCGTCTGTCTTTCTACGGTCACATGCTCTGCTTCCTGAACTGTCACCTGACCGCCCACATGAACTACGCCTCTCAGAGGGTGGATGACTTTGAGTATATTCTAGATGCTCAGACCTTTGACACCAAAAACACACCACGCATTTTGGATCACAAGTTAGTCCCAGTCATGAATAATAATAACCACATAAAAGTCTTCTGTGTATGATTTTTGGTCATTATTCCTTATCATTTATCTACATTGCTCTTTATTGCATACGCATTCTAGGGTGGTGTTCTGGTTTGGGGATTTGAATTTTCGTATTGAGGACCACGGGATGCTCTTTGTAAGGAACTGCATCACCAGCCAGCGTTTCAATCTTCTTTGGCCTAAAGATCAGGTACTGATCAATAGATGTAGTAACAATGTCTATACATGTAAATGAACAATGTACTAACATATGAATCATTTATCTGCCGTTCCAGAATTAATAACTCAATTTATGCAGTAATGTTAGTTTGCGTCTGTGCATGTCCAATATCTCACCAGCTCACCATGATGAAGCAGAAGGAAGCTACTTTGCAGAAGTTTGAAGAGGGACCTCTAGACTTTCAGCCCACCTATAAATTTGATTTGCACTCAGATGACTACGACACAAGGTAAATGACACAACTTATATCCTGCTGTATATTGTACTTTCATTCTCAGTATTTTTTGAAAGTCATTGGTTTGAAAGTCGACATGAAATCTTAAATTTCTTAATGCACATTCCTGGTCTTACTGTAAATGATTTAATTGTTGTTCATTATTCATAAGAAAACCAGAGACTTTTCATAATACAATCAATTCCTGAGGGATAAAATCAAGTTCTGCTCTACTTTTTGTCCTCTTTTGAATATTTTGTTTCACACACACACACACACACACACACACACACTTGATTATGGAATTAAAATGAATTTCATGTTGATTTCAATTATAGTGCATTTCCTAGATAGCAGTGAAGGCAACAGTAATCACTATAATATCCTGAATCTCCCGCAGCTCCTATTCCAGGGCTGTTTTGAACTGTTTTGTCAGATGTTCATACATGCTCTTTTTCACCCCTGCAGGGTACAGAAGACATGGTTTGGTTTTAAGTAAGCCTTAAAATTCCCATGTGCTTCTTAACTTGAACCTTCCTACCCTGCTTATCTAGCATTCCACCATCATTCCTTTCCCTGTTTGTAGCACTCCCGTCAGGCAGCGGAAAGCCTTTTTCTTTGCCCTAGAGCTGACAGACCTCATTCACACTTTAATGCAGACCAGTGCATTGCGTTCCACCCATCCCGTCCTGTAACACCCATTAATCTACTGCTGAAATGAAGCACCATACATAAACCAATAACATCCATATAGATCCAGTCTGTTTACATATAGTTGCTGTTGTGTGTTGCAAAGAGTTTAAGTATTAATCATGTCATCTGTGTTTCAATGCTGTCGGTTCTAGCAGCTGTTCAGATCTTTGCAACATACACGGTCATCAAGCATGTGGACGAATCGGCTCGCTTAGTGAAAATGCTTTTTGACCTCCTAAAGGAGATGCAGCGTGACTGAACTCACATCAGAGACACTCAAGGACTTGTGTTTTAGAGCAGTTGATTGACACAGGGATCTACAAAATATGATGATCCTCTTGTAATTTACTCCCTTCCTAAAATATAAAGGCCACTACCATTCAAAAGTTTGGGGTTTATAAGATTAGTTTAATTTTTTTTTAAATAGGTCTCCTTTGCTCAACAAGGATGCATTTATTTGATCAAAAATACATTACAAACAGTGATTTTGTGAAATATTATTACAATGTAGAGGAACTGTTTTCTATTTTATGTATTTTATTCCTGTGATGCAAAGCTGAATTTTCAGCATCATTAATCCAGGCTTCAGTGTCACATGATCCTTCAGAAATCATCCTAATATGCTGATTTGGTGCACAAGAAACAATTTTTATTATTGTCATCAATGTTATCAATAACAGTTGTGCTGCTTAATATTTTGTGGAACCCGTGATGCATTTTTTCAGGATTCTTTGATGAATACAAATAAAATGCATTTATTTGATATAGATTTTTTTGTAACAATTTAAAAGTTTTTACTGTCATTTTTGATCAATTTAACTATATACAGTGGGTACGGAAAGTATTCAGACCCCCTTAAAATTTTCACTCTTTGTTATATTGCAGCCATTTGCTAAAATCATTCAAGTTAAGTTTTTTTCCTCATTAATGTACACACTTTTGATCAATTTAACACATCCTTGCTGATTAAAAGTATTAATTTCTTTTGACAAAGTTTTTTTGTCAAGTGGTGTAAATCATATATTTAATCATATACGTATATATTTAATGTCATTAAATATAATATATATAATATAATATTTAATGTCAAATTACAAACCCAAAACAAATGTTACAAATATTATCTGCACAATATTTAGTTTGTATTAAATTGAAGTGATTTATTTAAATCTTTAAAATCATTTTGTTTTCTATACCTTATATTAGAATATTACAGAAATATTTTTAGTTTAATTCAAATTTATTTGTATATCACATTTTATAATTTCAAACAACAAGGACATTGCGAGTTTTTATTCTTAAATCCTTATGTTTTTTTTTTTTATTTTTTATTTGTTGCTGTTCTCTCACAGCCCCCAAAAATCTTAGAGCAACTTTGTGTCCATGTGAGAGATCTATATGCCACCATTCTGTCCGGGGTGTATTTGGTGCATGACTTTCTTAGTTATAAAAGCATGCCACATGAATTCATTTTCACAAAATGAATGATGGCCGTACAGAAAGACATGCCAATGTTCTTCCAGTTGAAAGCAGTGCAATTCTGGAAAAGGGATTCAAATCAACAACTTTATTGTATGTTATTAACGGTTTTAAACTTGTTTTCCTGTCTTTGTGATTGGCTAGTGGGAAGAAACGCAAGCCTGCGTGGTGTGACAGGATTCTCTGGAGAGTGAAACCCAAGTCCTCGCCAACAGAGGAGGCTAATGAAGACGGTCACAATGAAGAGGAGCCAAAGAAACAACTGCAGGAAGAACATAAAGACGAGTTCCCTATAAAACTGAGCCAGGAGTATTACACAAGTAAAATGGAGTACGGCATTAGCGACCATAAGCCTGTCATCGGCATCTTCCACTTAGAGGTGGGGAGGTGGAGTTTGGCTAAAATAATAGTCACTTTTGTTCTATAAAATACTACCAAGTGTGACCATTTCTTTCTCCACAATTAGTTGAAAAAGATGTATGAGACGCCATTGGTGCAGGTGTCTGCTGAAGGAGAGTGGAGTGCCGACTTTGACGCCCTCATAACCTACAGCCTTCTTCAGTCCTTTCCCTCCAGTGCCTGGGACTGGATCGGTTTATATAAGGTGAGAGAGGTTCCCAAAATGTGGTCTGTTCTGATAAGGTCACAGACTGCAAATAATAAAATAGAACTAACTATATAAGCGTATACGGTTACAGTAGTGATACTAAAATAATGTATTGTGAAGTAGATTTTATCCAGGGTGTTTTTAACATAGACCTTGTGCTTGTCACTTCACAGGTCGGTTTTAAAAGTGTTTCAGACTATATCACGTACACCTGGGTGAAGGATGACCAGGTGTCTTTCAGTGATCAGCTCTTTCAGGTATGTGACATTTGCTATCTATGTTTCTTTAAAGGCTGTCGTATATTTTGTCTAATAAGCAACTGAGTAGTAAATTCAGTTTTCTTTGTTCACAGGTTTATGTGAACAAAGATGAAATTCCAGTTCTTGGGGGAGAATGTGTGCTGTGCTATTACAGCAGCAGCTTGCAGTGCATTGTGGGTATTAGTCAACCTTTCAAGGTGAGTAATATTTTACTTCTATATTTTGTGTATAAATAACCTCAATTATGTGTATGTGTGCGTGTTATTATGTGTGTGTGTGTAAATATATACAGTGGGGCAAAAAAGTATTTAGTCAGCCACCAATTGTGCAAGTTCTCCCACTTAAAGACCATATGACATTAGGCCACGGGGAAGTCGTGGCCTAATGGTTAGAGAGTCGGACTCATAACCCAAAGGATGTGGGTTCGAGTCTCGTACCGGCAGGGATTGTAGGGGGGGGGGGTGAATGTACAGCACTCTCTCCCACCTGCAATACCATGACTGAGGTGCCCTTGAGCAAGGCACCGAACCCCAACTGCTCCCCGGGCGCCGCAGCATAAATGGCTGCCCACTGCTCCGGGTGTGTGTTCACGGTTTGTGTGTGTTCACTGCTGTGTGTGTGCACTTTGGATGGGTAAATGCAGAGCACTAATTCTGAGTATGGGTCACCATACTTGGCCACACGTCACACGTCACTTCGTCACTTCACCAAAATAGAACTTTTTGGTAAAAACTCAAATTGCCGTGTTTGGAGGAGAAAGAATGCTGAGTTGCATCCAAAGAACACCATACCTACTGTGAAGCATGGGGGTGGAAACATCATGCTTTGGGGCTGTTTTTCTGCAAAGGGACCAGGACGACTGATCCGTGTAAACGAAAGAATGAATGGGGCCATGTATCGTGAGATTTTGAGTGAAAACCTCCTTCCATCAGCAAGGGCACTGAAGATGAAACGTGGCTGGGTCTTTCAGCATGATTTATTCAGCTTTCAGATTATGTATAAATCTCAATTTCGAAAAATATGTACCCTTATGACTGGATTTGTGGTCCAGGGTCACATATTAGGGCTGTCAAAAAAAAAAAAATCAAATTTAAAATAGAAATCCACATTCAAATGCAAAAACGTTGCATTCGAATTTTAGGTGTGCGTTAAGGAGGCAGCCTTATCAGTGGCGCACGAGATACGATGACGATGTAAGTGTAGTTGCATTATAATGTTTTTGTTAACCTATCCAGTTGAAGCCACTAGATATGGCGCTGCTGCGTTGTTAATTACAAATATTGCGGAAAAAGAGAACATCAATGCGGAGAAGATCTTGTTTAGATCAAAACTGAAACCAAGCCATTCACACAGAACACATATTTCGCGCATTTTCTAGAGGGACATCTATCACCGTTGCACTCGCATCTCGCACAAAGGAGCCACATGTTTAGAAAGCCATGTAAAATTAATGCAAGTTCAACTTTGAAAAAAACATATATCAAGACTTTATGGCGTCCCCCCCCCCCATCCCACTGCATCTCATGTTTTTAAATGAGAAATGTACTCTGTGTGATTGACTTTCCGTCCTTTGTATTAAACTATGCATACATACTGTACATGATGCTGTTTTGTTTATAGTTGTTTAAGCAACTTAATTAATTATAATTGGTTTATAAACATTATGCACTTTTTCACAGATAGTCATTTTATCTTATGCTTTGAATAAGCGTGCATTAGTAATATTTTGCTCAATGTGTCCTCTTGTGGCCTCAGGAGAGAAGCCAAAATCTTTTCTTCACCCTAACTGAAATTATGCATTTATAATAATATAATTCGAATTTTGATAATAGTTAAGTACAAAATTCTAATTTAGTTTTTCAGCCATTTTTACAGCCCTAATATATATATATATATATATATATGATTTATGGTAGCACTGTATTTAACCAGTTTTTATGTAAATAATTAATTTTTAGAATTTTATAATTAATTTTTGAAAGGCAGATTTTCAATTGTTTTTTATTAAAAACCATTTTAATTTTCACTTTAGGTGCAGGAATCCAGAGCGGCGATTGAAGAGGGTTTAGTGCCTGAAAATATCAACAGACTAGATGAAACGGTAGCCAGTTAAGACCAAGTTTAAAGTGCACATTGTTTCATACGCTGTCGAACCACAGCTCAGATGTCAAACCAAGCATACCTGCGAATTCAAGCGAGCGCAATTTTCATCCAAAATTGATTGTTTTTACTGTTTATAGGTTTTACTGGTGTGTGATACAGTGTCTACAGTGTGTTTTCTTTTTTAATCCAAAAAATATTATAAATCAAAGCCAGTATATTTTAAAACACAGCCAGTTGATGGGACCAGTCCCAAATAGATTGTGGTATTTTAAGTAAGCACATGTAAATTTGTACTCTTATTATTGAAATAGATTCTAAAAAGTCTTTGAAAAAAGGTTGTTACAAATTAAGAAAAGCATACCAGTAATGTATTTAATTAAATTAAATTAATTCATTAATTTAATGAATAAATTCACACCGCAGCCTTACTTTTACCACAGTCCCTCAAAACATTTAGCATGCATTTATCTTGTAACTTTTTAAACTAAATGTTTTATTAATCTACTGTACATCAGAATTTCAGTCTTTATGGTTACTGCTAATGTTGTCCTTGTTTTGTCGTTCCGTTGCAGACTGTTACACTGTCAAGATAAGGCTGCATTTGCACAATTTAATTTAGTACTTTTATGGCACGTGTTTACTTTGTGGATCTATTTATGTTTATAACTCATACTGAAGTGGTATTATTATATTATTTGTGTCTCATTGAAATTGAGTGTGAATAACTGAAGGATGTGCAGAAATGATACAGTTTGACCAAGTGTATTTTTGTGGTCAGTACAGTTTGACATTACTTGTCGTGTTAAGTATAAGCAGACTCTGCGCAGAGTACTTAAACATATTTGTCAAACCAAATATGTCCTCTTTTGGCTGAAAGAATGTGTATTTGTTATAATGTTAGACTAATGCTAATGTATAAATAGAATATATTTGTATAAAATTATACTGTATAAAAGGTAAAAGACTAAAGCAAAATTTCTCTGTAAAGGAAGAGCTTTTTTATTTTCTAACAACTACAAATGCATACTGATGACATGAAATAAATGTTACTTAAATTAAAAAGGAAAACAGTCTTGTTCATTTGGGTTTTGTTGATTATCATAGCAAAATACTAAAAAAGTACTAATAATGAAAACTATGCTGAGAGAGATAAATAGAGGTGGTTTTACATCACACACACACACACATATATATATATATATATATAAATAAATTGATCCACATTGATGTACACGACTGTACAATCTACTTAGCCTCGTTTTCAATCATGAAGAGACAGCAGCGGCCCTATACTGCTCTTATGAGCAGTGGGACCCCAGTGAAGAGGGTGAGCAGCTTCAAGTACCTTGGTGTAAACATCTCCGAGGACCTGACTTGGACTTCACACATCCAAACTCAGGTTAATAAAGCCAGGCAAAGACTATACCATCTGCGACAGCTGAGAAAATTCAGGGTTTCGCCAGCAATCCTGAAATCTTTCTATACAGGGGCCATAGAAAGTGTATTGACTCAGTGTATCTCAGTGTGGTATGGGAACAGCTCCAGTCAAGACTGCAAAGCCCTGCAGAGAGTTGTGCGCTTAGCTGAGCGCATCTCAGGGTCTGCTCTCCCCTCTCTACAGGACGTCTACCTCAAACGCTGCAAAAGCAGAGCTGTTAAAATCATCAAGGACTCCAACCACCCTGGTAACTGTCTTTTCATTTTGCTGCCATCTGGTAAGCGCTTCTGTAGCCTGATGGCAAAAACCGAGAGACTTAGGAGGAGCTTCTTCCCCCAGGCCATCAGGCTCCTAAACTCAAACTCAGTCTCTTAACACCAACATGACTTCACTTAATTATCAGTAAGACACTTAATATACTGGCATTGTCACTTGCACACAGCAATTTCTGTTATATTACATTTATTTACTTTTTTACCCCTATTGCTGCTATGTAACTACCATGTACAACCTGTTTGCACATTCTCCTCTTGTACATTCCTGCTCATCTAAATATTATTAAGTCTACAGTATACTGTCCTGCGCATTTTATTTTTATTCTTATTTTTTTTTTTATCTTACTTTTTCCATACCTATATTTATATATAATAATATTTAGTTCTGACAGGTAAAACATTTTATTTACTTTCAATGTTTTAATCCTAATTATTTAATGTTTATTTAGTTTAAAAAGTAGAGTAGATCGTTTAAGACAAGGGTTGATTACAAGTGAATTCCTGACAGTTATTAAAAAAAAGTAAAAAAAAAAAAATCCCTTTTCAAGAACTACAACGAACGGCTCGTTTGGACTACAGCGTTGGTTTCCGGGCTTTGTGATATCACAAAGCAGCTCATTAGAATATCATTACAAATAATTCCTGCCTACAGAAATTCGAATGCTTGGGGGGTGGGGAGGGGCGAGGTTGTGGTTAGAACGCTAGGTTGAGTGAGCGCATTAGACGAGACGACGAAGAAGAAGAGCTGCTGCAGAGTTAGTGCATCAGAGAAAACCAAGAAGAAGAGCTGTTGTGCTGTAGCCTCAAATTTTCGGCATGTCTAGAAAAATTCTTACAAGTACAACACGACGTAGCTGGGCGCCGCGGACAGATGCCGAACGGCGCCGCCGGTGTGCCTACACTCATAGAAAATAATGTATTCGAATTTTAAAGACGTGGCGCGACGCTGTGCTTCTCATTCAGTGTGCGACCGCCTGATATGCTGTTTTTTCCACCTCCATTCATTTCTCACCTTCCGAAAGCGGATGATGTCAGGAAACAGTGGTTGCAATTTATTTTTTAACTCTGTTCTTGAGCATTATAACCCCAATTTGCTATTGTGTGCTGCACATTTTACTGAGGACAGCTTCCACAACATGAGGGAGTACAGTGCCTGCCGGATTCGCCAAAAATCACTTCTTCTGTAGATGAGGCTGGATCATGAATGATTTGCGCGAACATAGACGCATTTATGTAGATCGGAGGCGCATTCCCTTCAGAAACAATAGTAATCCACTGCCAGTTCAGCGGCTCAGATGTCGGGAGTAAACAGAACACCTCAATCGCTTAGGAGTCATTCTTGTCTACAACTGCGCTGGCGGTGAAACAATGGCGGACTGATGACAGCTTACTCAGGGCGGGTCCAGTCTGTGCTGAAACACTACTGTCAATCAGACTATCGTGGGAGGGGCCTGTTTTTGTGATGTCACACAGACAGGCATCTGAGATCGGCTCGCTTTGAGAAAGGGGAAAACATTTAACACGATAAAAAAAAAAACCACTGGGTGGATTTTTATCTTTATAGGGTGGTTGTGTACACACACTGCCAACACACATTTCAGTTTAAACAACTTGTAAAAGTGCATGTAGCATCCTATGACCCCTTTAAATATATAAATTGATCCACATTGAGGTACACGACAGTACAATCTACTTAGCCTCGTTTTCAATCATGAAAAATAAATGTCATCTACCGCCAACCAAAGAATGACTTTTTTTTTCTTCAGGAAAAAAAATGTCTCGGCTGATGGGACCCCCTGATAAGTTTCTGCCATCTGAGTGGAAACATGCAAACCAGGTGCAGTTCAGGAGCTCGGAGGCAGAACGGCCACACTCACAGAGACTGACAGCAGAGTGTCAAAGACTCATAGAGGAGAGTGACAGATCTACCAAACGCATGCAACAGGATGCACTAAAGAAGCTGGGTAAGCAACACACCAAACCACATGTGACAGGATTCAAAGAAGATTAATGGCCTTGCATTAGAGGTGCAGTAACACAGGAAGTGTCATGATGATACTTGACCTTTTAAAGATAATTGATAGAAATGATGAGGAGAGGAAGTTATTTCAGATAACAATTTTGGCCTACTTATGTTCCCACGAGTCTTGCGTCTCTTTAGAGCAGAGAATCCAGGACATCAAATTCTGGAGGCTGGAACTGAACCAGAAGTTTGAGGAGATAGTGCAGGAGATTGAGACCCTCATCATTTTCAAGAGCCATGTAGAAAGAGCCTTAGAAAGCTGCTCTGAGCCTCTCCAAGTGAATTTGCAATGTCTGACTGAGAGGTACTTCTCACTGTAGAGCACAACCAGTACAAGACATTACTAAAATCAAGTGTTTTACCTGAAATACACAACCAAATTGATTTTCAAATAAAGGCCGTTCTTTTGAACTACTGGACTCTGAACTATGTCTTTTTGAACTTTTGAACCATTTCTATGCCTCAGACAGAAGCGGGTGGCGACTCATTTGTGAACCCAGAGACTAACTTAAGGGGGTCAGATCATAAAGAATACATTTTGTTCTTGATGTTTCATGTGGAAGCATCTGTCAAACCTGTAAATTAAAAAAATAAAATTTAAATCATATTAATTAAACCATTAAATGATGATAATTCAATAATAAACAAATTTAATAAAAATAATTTCTTTCTTTGCTACACAGAAAATGATGAGAAAAGTGTTTAAAATATGGCACTAAATCCTTGCATTATTGATAAATATGGGGTTTTAGTTTTTTTGATGAAATGCTTGTTATATAATATCAATTTGTTCAAAAATGAATTTTAATTAGTACATTTTCCCTGTGCTTTTCAGGCTCATTCATTCAGTGAAATACTATCTGGAAAAGGACCTGCAGGACAAATTTCAGGTAGAGCGCATTGATGTTTTGTTCTCTTCTCACTAATGTTTCTCCTGGTTTAAACGGAGGGAATTTAAACTTTTCTAGTCTTGGGTAAGAAAAGTGTCTATACTATTTATGTGTTAAGAGAAGGTTTTCAATCATTTTCTTCTGTGAATATATATTCATATGTGTGTGTGTGTGTGTGTGTGTGTGTGTGTGTGTACTGGTACAGTATATATGGTTTATGAGGACACAAATGTGTATAATGACATTGGTACTACAACATAAACATGGTTTATGAGAACACTTCCTGTGTCCCCGTAAAACAAAAGGCTTAAAAACATACAAAACGGTGTTTTATGAAATTCAAAAATTGCCAGCAGTTTCCTGTGAGGGGTAGGTTTAGGTGTAGGGCGATAGAAAATACAGTTTGTACAGTATAAAAACCATTACGCCTATGAAGAGTCCCCGTAAACCACAAATGCAAGTATGTGTGTGTGTGTAAACATCATTGCTTTTACTATTTCCAGATCTGCAGTGACTCCTGAGGAATGGGATAGCCTCTGCAACTTAAACATTAGCAAAGCTGAGAAAGAGAAGAGCAACTCGCTTTCTCTGAGAGCTCTCGTGGATAGCCTGCTAGAGCAGACGGCTGCTGACATGCACACACAGTACGAGGCCACGGGAAGGGCTTTTGAGCTGCGCATAGAGGAGACCAAAACTGCCAAAGCACAGCTTGAGAACCAGCTCAATGAGGTCAGTTGCACTTCTAGCACTGCATCAATTCAAATCAAAGCATCAAGTCCGTTTTACCAGTTAATTAAGGCACAGCAACATTTTAATAATGAAAATCATATTTATTTTGAGATTTGTCAATAAATTGGTTTTCTTAAATATAAAATATTTCTAGCTATTTAAAATATTTAAATATTATATTAAATAAGATCTAATCTTTAAATATTTAAGTGAGTCTTAAATGATGACAGTGTAAATTGGAATTAAAGCTGCTATCAGAGACAGCAAATCAGGAGAAGAATCTGGAGTCTCTACGCGTGGCAATCACAGAGAAAGAAGCTCCACTCAAAGTTGCTCAGACTCGACTGTCCACTCGCAGCCAAAGACCCAACGTTGAGCTCTGCCACGACCCAGCTCAAATCCGACTGCTGGAAGAGGTCAAGGAGCTCGCGAGCCACACTGAGAGGTAGGGGAAGGGATTCGGAAACATACAGTATGTCTCATATGCTAGTATGTCCCCAATAAAAGCATCTTCCCCTCTATGTCTCTCCATTAGACTGACCGAGGCTCTTGAACTGTCAGAGATGGAACTGAAAGCTCTAGCAAGGCGCCAGTTGAGCCTGGAGGAGGAGATCCAGGTCAAGACCAACTCCCTATATATAGACAAGGTGATCTGCCATCAGCTATGCCAGCCTGTGGTTATTCACAACTTCTGAACAGGG